ACAAGGATGCGTTATTTTAATTGTTCCTTTATTATTTGTTGAAACTAAATCTGTTTTTGTATATTTCTTGCCTATTTCTATTATTTTTTAAAAAGCTTTACATGGCTTTTTGGTATTCTTTATCCGTTTTCTGAGTAAGTGTTTGCAGAATTTTTTCCCTAAAAAAAAAACCTATTAACCCTTTTTTAGATGTGTTGCAAATACTTTCCTTTTCTAATACTTGTCCTTTAACTTTTTTATATGTATATTACTGTATAGTGTTAAATGTTTAATATAGTTATATTGTCAATATTTTACTTTATAACTCTGGGTTTGAACATTTTACTATAGGGTAAGAAAAATATTATTTTGTATTTTCTCCTAAAACTCCTTAGATTTTATATATTGATTTTTAACTCACCTGAATATTTTTTGTGTAATGTGTGAAACGGGGCTCTATATTGGTTTTATTTCAAATAATAGTGGTCCATGCACTTTATTTGTTGAATAAGCCTTATTTTCCCCATTGATTTGATGTATCAATTTAATCATATATTACATTGTTAGACAGATATATACATTTGTTTCTAGAATGGTCATTTTATTTCATTTACCTACTTGATTACTTCTGTGATGGTGTCATGTTTTTTTTAATTGCTGAGACTTTATAATGGATTTAAATGTTTTAAGATTTTATAATGGTTTTTGACATTTAAAAAATATATAAAATCAATCTGCATTAAGAAAAAAAAGAAAAGAAAACCAGGAGTGGTTGTGTGAACACTAGGGATCACCCTGCTGACCTTGGAAACGGGTGGCAGCTAGAACCAGGAGAGAGGTGAATGAGAGAGCTAAGAGAAGGCCAAGCTTCTCTAAAAATATGGCTGTCGTGAAAGCAATGGGATAGGTTGGATGATTGTGATGTATTTCTGCCAAACTATGAGGCATCTGCCAAAATGCAGAGATGCTTTTCTGAAAACAACTAGGGAATGGAGAGGTATAAAAAAGGTAAGCAAGTAAACAAAACAAAAAAACTAAATAACCTCATAACAGATGCTTAAATAGTAGGAAAAAGTACAGTCGATCTTCATTATTCACAGATTTTATACTTGTGAATTTGCCTACTCACTAAAATGTGTTTGTAATTCCCAAATCACTACTCATAGTGCTTTCAAGGTCATTCACAAGCATGAGTAGAGCAGCAAAACACTTGAGTCTCCCAATGTAGATATTCCCAGCTGAGACCAAACAAATGCTCTGCCTTCCGATTTCCTTGTTTCAGAAGGCAGAGAGAGATGCTCTGCTCTCCTACTGTAAACAAGGTTTTTTTTGGTTTGTTCATTTGTTTGTTTTTGCAGTCTACTTAGTGTTATATGTTTTGCAGTGTTTTCCTCTGGTTGGAGATTTTGCTGTTTGAAAAGACCCTCAGTGTAGTGCTGAAGTGCTGTCTAGTGCTCCCTAGCATAAGAAGGCTGCACTGTGCCTTACAGGGAAAATATGTGTGTTAGGTAAATTTCATTCAGGTATGAGTGGCCATGAATTCAATGTTAATGAATCAACAATATATATTAAGGTGTTTTTTTAAATAGAAACACATATTTAAAAAGGCTATCTATAACCTATGTAGGATGTGTTTTTAGCTAGAATTGGATTTCATTGTTAAAGGGACATGTAACATGATAGAAACAATATTTTATTCATTCATTTATTCCTAGTGCCTAGAAAAAATTCTAGACAAATAGCTAGGCCTCAAAAAATAAATATTTTGGAAGTTAAAAAAATAAAAAGGGTTATGCATTTATTGTCAAAAATGTTGTGATCACAGGCTCACAGCCACCTAATTCTGTATTTCCTCTAGGATTAGTTCAGTATTCACTATTCAGTGTTCACAGTCTTTATAGAATATAACTACTGCAAAAAATAAGAATTGGCCATACCTGTTATGTATTTTTCATTTTCATACATTATCTTATATTATTATATTACATATAAACAAAACAAAGTATTGTCTTTGTTTTACAGATAAAGAAATTGAGGTTAGGTTAAAATAGATTAGATTGTGTAATTTAGAGCTAACATATGGAAGTGGCAGGATTTGAATCCATTTCTAACTTTCCAGAGGGAAAGGAAGCTTTCTCCTTCAACTGGAACGCCAGTTTTTAGCAAAGGGTGGCCAGGCCCATATCAGGGTTGGTGGGAAGGTACAAGGAGAGTTGAGCTCAGTCAAGAACAGTATGTATCTAAGAAAGGAGGGTGGAAGAACGGAACACAATCCTCTAGATGCAGTCTGCTCTGGTCAGACTATAGCTAGAACAGTGGGGGGGAAGATAATCTCCAATTAGCATAGAAGAGGGCACCAGGATGGTGAAGAGACTGGGAGCCAACCACATCAAGAGAGAAACAGGGGAAAGCATAGGAAGTGTTCAGCCTAGTACCGAGACAAACAGGGAACATCTTTTAAATACCTGAAGGGCTCTGTTGGGAATGAAGAACAGATGAAAAGCAGAACCAGAAGAGAGGTTTAAACTTCCAGGGAGATTTTGACTCGCTCAAAGAAGTATTTTCTGATGTTCAGAGCTCTCCAACAAATCAAGATTAGGGACTGAGGGTCATGGCCCAAATCTGGCTGCAGACCCTTTTGCAGGCTCACAGTGCTTTTTAAAAGACTATGTTTAAATGCCCTTCCGTGGGACACGGGTCTCCAGTTTCCACGGCCTGTATCACCCCGTGCTGTTAGCCCCATGTCACTCCTTCGCCTTACCCTTTAAGTATAGTGTTGACGGATTTAGCAAATAAAAATACAGGAATAAGTTAAATTTCTATTTCAGACAAATGACAAGTAATGTTTTAGTGTAAGTACATCCCATCCAATACTTGGGATATACTTACACTGCATATATATTTATATCTGACTTGGGGTTACTAATATTGTCCTGTATTCAATCTGGCAACCCTATCCTGGAGGTCTTACTTTTTGTTTTTAAATTTTATTTTCCTTGAATAAAGGAATAAATGACACCTGGTCACATTTAACTCCCATTCCTCCCTCTCAATCCCCTACACCCCTGCCCTGTGACAGCCCAACCTCCTACCCTCTTCCCCTTTGGCAACAATCAGCTGTTCCCTGTATCAATCAGTTTTATTTATTTGTTTGTTTGCTTTTAGATTCCACTACTGTAGAGGCTTTACTGTTACATTTTTGAGGAAGTTGGCTCTGTATTTGAGAAATATTCAAAGACTTGTCTCAGAGGAATGCTCAGAATGGAAAGAGGACTAAAATGGTCTAAGCACACCATTGCCCTATTTTCTTGAAATGGGCCCCCTCCCCACCACCCATTTTAGAGCAGCAAAACAATAAAAAGTAGATAATACTTCCAAATAATGACCCAGGTACTTTGCTGGGTGTGCTTGACAGGTGGGGCACCTGTTTCTTGCTCTAACAGCAGAATGTTCTACCAGAACTGAGGTTGATTGATAGACAAATACACAAGTGCTTTTGGCCTCTAATATAAATTCCTTTAAAGTGCAAGTTGATTGATGTGTTCACAGCTGGGGAGAATGGTGGCAATCTCTTTCTGGATCAGGGCATGAACCAAGAATCATAAAACATTCCAAAATAATAATAGTTTTATCTGTCAAAAGTCATCTTCCTCTTCTTTGAGACTGTGGTTAGTCATCCTGATGTGTGTTTTCCTATCCTGCTGCCAGAACTGCTCTTCTAGTTGCTTTGAACAGACTGTGACCAGCTCACCAAGCACGGGAACATGGCAGCAGTTGAGACTGACAGTAACTTGCTCTGTTACTACGCAGCCTCAGTTTCCTCTGCAGAAAAGAAGAGCCAGGATCTCTGAGGTCATTCTCAGAAACTATACCTCTAAAAATAAGTATTAGTAGTCTTTGAACACAGCTAGTCTTTCAGCATCCTCCTAGGCATCAGAGAATTAGAATATTTACGTTCGATGGGACTTGAGGGAGCATTCGGTTCAACTCCCTCATTTTGGAGATAAGGAAAATTAACTTCATGGTAGGGTGACAAGGTCCAGAGCTCTTTGTAGCTCAGCAAGTGGCCTCTCTTTCCTCCTCCTCAGTTTACCATGTCTTCCTCCCTCACTTTCACCCAAATTTCTAAAAGTCCTTCACTCAAAACAAAAATAACAACAGCAACAAACAGCAAAATGCAGGAGAAGTTAACATAATGAATAAATCATCCAGGGGAGAGTATGCACCACAGACTAGAGTACAGACTGAAGTATATACACAAAGGGAGGGTCCTCAGCTGTTCTACTTTGTCCTTATCAGGAAAAACTCCTAGAAGACATGGGCTTTGCCATCTTTTTAAAGACAGGTATGTCCAGAATATCCTCTGGTTCCCTAGGATACTCACTAAATATTCCTAGTGAGGCCCTATTTCCTTCAAGATTAAATAAATACAATCTCAAAGTAAAACTCCATTTCAACTATTAAAGTAGGGAAAATTGTTTAACACGTCCTCTCCAGACTTAAGGGTTGAGAGGGACCTGACACAGAAATCTCTGGATCTTAAGGACTTCAAGGGACTTATGGCATTGCTGTTTTCAAGTAATAGCCTGGTTTTCACTGGCTGTCTTGATAGGTATGCATTCTATCTCAGGTTTGTGTATTTACATTATGTACATGGATCCCCAGCCAATATGTGTTGAATGAATAACAGGGCTTTGGAAACAAATATCCTGGGTCCTTCATTCACCAGCTGGTAAACTTGGGCAAGTTTTTAATTTCTCTAAGCTCCGGTTTCCTTATTTGTAAAATGCAGATAAAGCACGTCTTTCATAGGATGTGGTGAAAATGGTATAATAAAAGCAGCTATTATTATTGTACCTGTGAATTAATATAAAACTTAAGCAATAAGAAACAGTGTGATTTTCTAAGTTTTTAATGGAGTCCCATTTTGTTTGGTACAGAGAGACAGGCTGGTAACCTGAAGGCTGAGTTAGCTGTTTTATGTAACTGCACACTCTGGTGGGTACTATTTTACTGATCTCTAAAAGTGTTTAAGGAGAGGCATTACAGTCAAGAGTGGAATGCATGACAATTGTTTTATTTATAATGCTTACTTGAATGACAAAGCCAGCCAGCATTAGGCTGCCAGGAAGAAGCTTGTGGCCCCATCCATGCCATTACTCCACAACACGGCGGAAAGACTGGACAGCAGGCGAAGCTGCACCCCAGTCGATGGGCTTCCGGTACTCCCTCTTGTCCAGGAGGTACTGCCTGCCACGATAGCTGGGGAGCTCGTAGAAGATCCAGGCACCCTCCAGCACTTTACAGGAGTGGACCTCTTGCATGTGAAATTGCTCCATGATGGAAGGACAATCTTCAGTGGTTTCATACATCTGACCATTAAAATCCCCTTTCTCAAAGATCTGAATCTTATACTGGCCTCCGCGAGACTGAAAAAAAAAAAAACACACAGGAGGAAATGAACAGCAACTATTATGGAAATCACCAGCAGGCCAGAGAACAGCATGGTTCAGAACCCACCATCTTGAAATCTAGATCTATACTCCCATACCCACTGTGCACTGACGGAAACAGCTGACTTTCAACAAGAAAAACTTATTTCCTTAAAATCCTCAAGAGGTAATAATTAACATATTCAGTCTTGTGATGAACTGTCCTAAGGTTTTATTGAAGCTTTCACAGCCAGAAAAAGACAGCTCCCCATTAAGAAGTAGGAAAACCTCAAAAGACTCTCACAGAAAAGAAAAGAAAAATGATGGGGGGAGGGCGAGCGAACGCACAGCCCACTCACCAGATGAACAGCTCTGCAGGAGCCGAGGCGGTCATTGAGGGCCAGCCAGTGCTGGTATTCAGGGTACTCACCCCGGGGTAAGATGTACATGTGCCCAGAAAAGTTAGGCCTTTCATACGCAACCCAGGTGCCCCCTTCCACTCTAATGGAGTTGCAGCGATTCAGGTACATGTGGAAATCTGCACAGTCACAATTGCAATCATAGTGGCGGCCTTGAAAATTTTTGTCTTCATAGAAAGTAATCTGAAGTACAGGGCATGCAAAGAGAACTGAGGAGTTGGTTGTATGCATTATTCATACATAAAATAAAAATTAAGAATATATTCCCCACTTTAGATAATCCTTCCTCCTCCAGTTTGCTCTCCCTCACCTTACAGCATTTGCCTTCTGGCAGACAACTTTGGTTGTCAACAATAGCAAGGAGTCCTTTCTGAAGGCTTAAAGTGAAACAAAACAAAAAGTGCTCTAATAGAAGTCAGCAATTTCAGACTCAAGCTCATTGCTTTCTCCTTTTTGTTCCCACAGCTCACTTTACCACATTATATAATAAACTATCTACTAATATGTCTCTCCCTCCCACAGGACTCCTGGTATACTGCATCCAAGGGCAAGGGACCAAACCTGAGTTAAGCTACTAACCCCTGTGCCCAGCATTGACAGACTCTTAATAAATGTTTGGCGAGGATACAGGAGTGCATATGCAGACATTCATTTTAGGTGGTGTGGAAGATATGTAGGAAAAAAAACAAAACAGACCTTAGTTTTAGAGAACTTATTTTAGATGGATTTAGAGCATACATCTGACCATTAAAATCTCCTTTCTCAAAGGTCTGAATCTTGAAAATACACCATATTATGGCCTGTTATGATTTCATTGCCAAGAGAGCTGTTGCAAAGTAACAAAATGAGAAGGCAAGATGTTCTCTCTTTCAAACTCTCACCAAGTTTCTAACAGAACATCAGGGTACACCTCTGAGATCTGTGATGGCCCTGGAAATATGCATCCCCCAGAAAGCAGAAATAATAAATCTGGGCTCTGCAGCTGCCATCTCTGTAATCAGCCCTACCACCTCAGTCAAGCCATCTCTCTGGGCTCCAATTTCCCATTTGTCAAAAGAAAGGAATAGACTGCACTTGGAAGCCCTGGCTGTAGAGTAGAACTCAGAGCTTTTCTGGTTGAAATGGGAGATGGCGTTCCCAGAAATTCCTAGGGCTTCATGAAACAACGTCTGACAGCCAGTAGATCAAAGGAACTAGAGTTTGTCCCTTCTTCTAAAATTCCACAATCCAAGACAAATTTAGAACTGAAATCACAGGTGCCATTGATTCCAGAAGTTAATTCCCTGGCGTTATGCTGCCACCTTGTGGCTTTCTTTATCGATTTAAAAAAGAGAAACCCTTGGGAGGAACAGAGCCAAGTAGTCTGGTGAGATCTTAGAGGTGAGGCTTGAAGGATAGATAGTTGTGGGTTTTCCAGGGGCAGAGGAGAAAGGATGACATGTTCAAAGGAATAAAGGGGTGAAAGGTCATTATAGGGACCAGTAGTTCATTAAACCTGGTACATATAGAGTATTTGTGAAGTATCAGGAAATAAAGCCAGGAAAGATGCAGGAGCCATGCTTAGAATCCTTTGGTGATCATGTAGGAGATGCAACTGGAAACAGATGGTTGCTATGGACTAGGTGAGTGGAGAGGGCCAACGGAGGGGCAATTGCAATGTGAAGGATAATGAGGAAATAGTCAAAAGATATTAAAAGTCAAAAAAGGATTTGGTGACTAATTAGATGTAGAGAATAAAGGAGAGGAAAAAAACCAAGAATGATTTGCAAATGGGCATAAAACCTCATCCCCTTCCACCCCCCCATGGTTCTTTCTAGATAATTCCCCATTAATAATTATTTCCTTCTATCTTAATCTCCTCTCCTTACCTTTGCCATTTCTATTCTATTTCCTGTTCCCTAAAAAACTTCCTTACTCCTTCCCACCCCTAAATCATATACTTCATCTTCTTCCTCCCCTTCCCCAATTTCTCTCTTCCAGCTCCCTTTCCCATTTCAATGCAGCACATATTTAGATGCAGAGCATGTTTGCAGATAAACAAAAGTGCAGCAGCACTAATTACTGGCTCTGTGACCTTGGACAGGCCATTCGCTGAAGCTCAGTCTCTTCATCTGTGAAACTGGGTAACAATATCTACTGCACAGGATTGTTCTGAGGGTCCAACAGAATATTAATAGCGCACTTAGTTTAATACTTGGCTCCAATTACCAATAAACTTTTGCTATAGTTGTTATAGAAAAAGAAGTTAAATAAGTTGCCTAAGGTCACTAGATAGTTACCAGTTAGTTACAGGTGAGAAGACTGCAGTGCAAATTGCTGGTTAGTAATGTTTTTCATTTTATATTACTTTATCTCCCCCTTTGCTGTCTTCCTACCTGCACAGCTATCTCTGTCAACATACAGCATTTACTCTAAAAAAAAAATAGAGTAAGACTGATCCTGAGTCTGAGAGGATTTTCCCAAAACCCAAGGAAAGGTCTTTAGGAAAATCAAGGTAACTTTTCTATAAATAGACCCAAAGTTGTTAATTCAATTTGACCTTTGGTTTTTGGTCAATTACAAAAAAAAAAAGGCAGCTTTTCAAGGGATATGGGAAATTAAGTTAGTGTCATCTATTTTCCTTCACTGTTTCTCACACTTACTGCCCCCTGCACATCTGCCTGACATCAGTATCCGAGAACGGAAAATATACATGATGTCTACAAGGTCCCATTGTTGTCCACCGTCCCAGCAGAGAAGCCAACCATCCCAAGATTGAAACAAAGCACTGATGTCCTGGAATCATTACTAAGCTCCAGGACCAAGATCTCCTTTCAGTGGGAGAACTTCCAAATCTCAGGATCCCGAGAATGTTGCAACTTTGCATTTTTCATGGAGGACCATGAAATCTACCCTATGGTCACTTGAGAGGAGGTTTTGACTCTTGGGCAAAATAGATAGATAGATAGATAGATAGATAGATAGATAGATAGATAGATAGATAGATAGATAGATAGTCAGCAGAGAAGGCTAAGAAATTCTCAGATTTACCTAGAATTTCAAAATTCCTCTCATTTTCAAGTTTGTTTTTTTAATAAAATGGCCTACTAATCCAATACAGCAGAAAGAAAATTGTCTCAGGTGTTCCAGAGGTAATAAAAACAAACATAATACATTATATTTTGCCAAGCCCATAACTCCTCTGATTAAATTGCTAGCAAGATAGTAGGAAAGGGAGAAGTAGTAAGAGAAAGAGATACTATTTTCTTTGGTCTATCAAACAGGGTTATTTACCTTAAGTAAAAAGCCCAGCTACAAGAAATAAGAGAGAGCACACCATCACCACTTTGGAAAGCTCTGAGAGCAGGGATGTTTTCATCTACCGTGGTCTGTAACAGCCTTCCTTCAAGGCACATGGATATCCCCCGAAGGAATTCGAATTATTTTTAGTGGTATGTGCAATGACGTATGAATTTTCAAGAACCTCAGAGCACTAAAGACACTGTCTCATTTTTTTCCCCAAGCTTTATGGGTAAGTATGATTATTAGTTCTATTTTCTAAATGGAAAAAAAATCAGGCACTAACCAATTCTGGAACACATTAACAGGTGTTCCCTAAAATGATGCCATGAGAAGTACTTGGCATTGTCTATGCAGCTTTCTTGCCATAGATGGTTAGCTAAAATCTGAACATGTGGAAACAATCAGAGAAGTCTAGATTTCAGGACTTTCTACAAGACACCTGGTCTGGACTTTGAAAAATACCAATGTCTCAAGAGACAACAACAAAAAGGGTAAAGGGGCTGTTCTATATAAAAAAGGCTAAAGGAAAAAAAAAGGTTAAAGAAACATGACAACCAAATGCAATGCATGATCAATTCTTCATTGGATCCTACATCAGGGGAAAAGCCAGCCATGAGCAAACTTTTGGGAGCAATGGGGGAAATTTGAATACAGTTTGAATATTAGGTATTGTATTTTATGATAAATTTGGGGGACCTAATGATAATTCATTTTTCTTATTGAGTTCCATGGGGTTGGCCCTGGCTGGTGTGGCTCAGTTGGAGTGCCATCCCACACACTGAAAGATCACAGGTTCAATTCCTGGTCAGGGCACATACCTAGATTGAGGGTTCAGTCTCGTCAGGGTGCCTACAGGAGGCAACCAATCAATGTTTCTTCCTCTCTTCCCCCCTTCCTCTTAAAAAAGAAATCAATAAATGTATCGTTGGGAGTGGGTTTAAAAAAAGACTCAGTGCATTTGAAAATTTTCAAACTAAAAAATCGGGGGGAAATGGCTTTGTCTTAGACCAAGTGGTCAGTGGAAGAGCTAAAAAAAAGAAAGATATATTCCCTCATTCCCAAAGCCCTGCCTGCGGGATCAATACCCAGTGCAACAATTATGAGTCAAGTATTTAAGGCAATTTATCTAATTTAACAAGCACTTTATTTGGGGCTAAGGGTAAAAGTAACTGCTTGAATGAAGAGAGTATGTAGTATTTAATTCACTTGATTGGTTCATCTGCCTTGTCCTTTTAAAATATTAATGGTTGAGGCTGAATTTAATAAAACAAAATTTTCTATGAATACTGAAAGCTTTCCATTTCAAATAATCCTCTGGTATGCATGTCCTATTCCTGTGGAAGTTCATAGAATATGCATTGCTGGAAGACAGAAATCAGGATTTTTACTTATTATATACTTGTACAGTACTCAACACAGCACCACACATAAAGATTACCCCTTAACGAACTGTTATGTAATTGTTAGAGCAGAAAAGAGTAAGCATTTCTTAATATTCTCTCCCAATCCCAAACTTTTAACCACGATCCTACCTCCAGGCAAAGGAGCAAAAACTTTTCTTCATGCTTCTTTCAATGTATTACTAGGTGAAAAAAAAGTGGGTAAGCTAAAAATCAGTATGACCATTTACTTACCTTGGCCCTAGTGTTAGACATTTTTTTGGTGCATAGATTGGTATCCCCAGTGCTGAAATCCAGGAATAGCTACAGAGTTAGAGACATTTATACTGGGCTGGTTGCAAATCAAACATTTGCTTAGTCATGAGAATAGGATCCAAAAATTGAGTCAGTCATTTAGAAGCTATTGATGGTTTCCAGAAAAACAAATGGGATTATGCAATAAAGGAAAGCTTCAGTGCCCACTTTAATGCTTACCAAGCCTTGCTGTACTACAGACTTTGCTGAGTCAAGACACCAAAACTTTGCCAAAGTTTTCAAAATAAAAAATGAAAAAAGTCTTCTTACCTGGGCAATTTGATTTTCTAGAAACCATTAAGAGATAATTCAAAAGGATATCCTGTATTTCTGAACAGAAGTGACATGTTGCAAAGCAACATATCTTATATAACTAAAGGCAATGCATGCTCTGGATTTGAATAAAAAGTTGCCACAAGGGACATCTTTGAAACAATTAGCAAAAATTTCAATATAAACTGTGTATTAGATAATACTATTGTACCAATGTTAAAACTTCCTAAATTTTATCTTTGTACTATGACTAGCTAGGTAAGAAAATGTCTGTTTTTATTAAATACATGCTAAGGTATTTAGGAGTAAAGGTCCAACATAACTGTAACCTACTCTCAAATCATTGAGCAAGATTAAAGTAATACTATATAGAGTGGTAAAGTGGTAAAAGGTTAACACATGGTGAATCTAGATAAAGGGTATGTAGGAATTCAGACTTTTACACTGGTTCTTTAAGTTAGTTTCACACACACACACACACACACTCACTCACTCACTCTCACTCACTCACTTTCTAATCCACAAGAAAGGGTGCTACATATGTAGTTTGGGAGATGGAAAACGACTATGGGAACTCCTGAATTATTTGCAAAGGTTTAGCTGGGCTCAACTTGCTACCTGTTAGGTAGCATTTGTCTCCAATGATATCTTATTAGGACCTATTTAGAGAACATGTTGGCACTTAATACATCTCTGACTTTAGGGATGAGATTATACCTTATATATGCTCACAAACACACACAATACAACTCAACTGTTTTCCATTTTACTTTTCCTGGGCAAGTATATTTTTCTCAAAAGTCCCACTTCCTCATCTTTCCACTAACCAAGCATCCAACAAATACTTTAATAAATGAGATGCCCCCAATATACAATATGGTAAAGTCAGAAAATGGCAAATGTGTTTTGATATGAACATTACTGGGAAACAAAGTATTAAGTTAGGTGATTAGTGTTCTGAATTTTATGAAGTTTAAAGTAATTCATATTATTTTAATTAACCAATAGCAACTTACAAAACACACTTCTGCTTTCTTGAATTTCATCTTAACATAAAAACTATGAAAACCTCAGAATTAACACATTTCAAGGTTGAATTTTCACTTAAGAAATAAAGATCAAGCCCTTTTTTGATGTAATTATTAATTAAATGGTCAGTGAGCATATGAAATGTTTATCAGTAGATTTATTTTACTAATTTGATAATTATTTTATGTTATCTTAAAGAACACAGCTTTCCCAATCAAATGTAAACTTTATTTTGATATAACATCACAGAGTAACATTGGAAACCTTTTCTAAAGTTAAAAGTGAAAAGTGAAGCTTTACCTGTTTATCGAAAGAAGAAAATTACTTTTTAGAGCATGTTTATTGAAAATTTGAAGCAAAAAATGAAAAATACAATTTCATTAAGTTTTATACTTTAAGGACTAGAGTATCTTTGCATAAAACTCTCTCTCCTATACTTATATACCAACAATCATACTTTCTTTCCAATTATTTTTGAAAAGAGTAGTGATTTCCTTTTAAATAGTTACAAAGAACTATAAAACTCTTAACCCCAGAAAGGATGAAACCCTTTTATCATACAAATTAAGATGTGAAGTTAACTTGTAAATCTACATTCAATCACTTTAATATTAATTAACATACATACAATGGGACTGGCTTCATCAACTTTTCCATTTTGGCATCACAAAGATGAATCTTTCGATGTTCTATAAGCAGTATATTTATGTGATAGTCAGAAGTTTACTTAAAATTCAACTCAAATGGTAATAAATGAGTATGAAATGGAAATCAAGGAAAGGTCTTAAATAGTAAGAAAAAGCCCCGAAGTCTTCTAAATAGCAAGAGCACATTCTCAATTTAGTTTCAAGATGTACATCATTTTCATCCTCATTCTTCCGGGGCCCTGAAGAGAAAAGAAAAAATTGAAATTAACTTCATTTTCTATTGTCTTCATGCAAATAATTAGGAAAAAACCTTTGCAATTATAAAATCACATAAATTATCAAGGTCAGATGAAAATTGTAAGTAATAAAATAAATGTCTAAAGTTAATTACATTCCTTTTTTCTGAGGAACACATTAGTTCATAATAAAAGAAATTCATACACAAATCTTAAACATTGGCAGGTTATGGGGATTAGTTTAAACTAAAACTTTACCCCGTTATAGTTCCTATTTCCTTATAATCTTCTTCTGATTTCCGATTCTTAATCTTAACATTTACTGATTAAATACTGTAAAATTCCTTTTAATAAAAAGTAATACTTTAAAAATGTAAACAGCATATAAAGTAACAATAAGTTTATGCGTTTGGAAAACAGTTGAGAAGTTTAGTCAAATGTTAAACACATGGCCTTCTACTCCTAGGTATGCACCCAAGAAAAATAAAAATATGTCTACACAAACACTTGTACACAAAAGTACATAGCATTATTCACAAAAGCTAAAAAGTGGAAACAACTCAAATGTCCATTAACCAATGAGCAGATACACAAAGTGTTGTATATCCATACAATGGAATATTATCCAGTCATAAAAAGGAATGACATACTGACACATGCTACAGGAATATACCTTAAAAACACTACGCTGAGTGAAAGAAACCAGGCACAAATGTTACATATTTTATGATTCCATATTATATGAAATGTCCAGAGTTGACAAATTAAGAGACAAAAAGATTAGTGGCTGCCAAGTACTGGGGGAAGAGGAGATACCTGCAGTTGCAGGAACAGGGAGTGATTGTCTCTGTGTATGGGGTTTATTTTTAGGGTGATGAAAATGTTCTGGATTTGTTAATGGCGATGGTTGTACAAACCTGTGAATATAATAAAGCTGCTGAATTCTTCACTTTAGAAAGATGATTTTCACGGTAAGTGAATTATATCTCAATAAAAATTTAAAAATGATTTTTCCTACTCTAGACACTGAGTCTCATTTTTCAAAGACAAATACTATTCATAATTTTTTATATCTTTTCAGAAATTTTAGGTATATAATTAGCATCTAACTATGTGTGATAATCCCTCTTTTTTCAAATACACAAGGGAACATTTTACACATACATTTGCTCCAAACCTCCCACCCCAGGCTCAGTGATCATTTAGGGTCAGCACATTCAGAAATACTGCATTCTTTTTAAAGATGAATTCCATGACATTGATACATCAGTTCATTAGGCTCCAGCCTGCTATTGAGAAGCATTTGGGCTTTTTCCAGTCTATAGCTATTTCAAACAATGCTGCAATGAACGTATTTTTTACAGAGATCTTTCCATACATGAGTGTTATCTATAAGTTAAGTCTAAGGAGTGAAATTGCTAAGTCAAATATATGTATTTTTAATTTTGATTTTGTCAAACTATCCTACCAAAAATTTGCACAAATTTACACTTTCCCCACCGGTAAGTGAAAATGTTTTGCCAGTGTTGTAACATGTATACCATCGGTTTTTGATCCTTGCCAATCTGATAAAAAATAGTATCCTACATTTCTTTAATTTTAAATGAAAGTGAGAATCTTTGTATTTTTCTATTTATTTGTGTCCTTTGTTTTTCTACTGCTGGTCTTTAAAAATATTTTTAAATGGCAAAGTAAATTTCTGTAAAAATACTACATATTGAATTAAATAATTTCCATTTTAAATGTCTCTATCCATGTTCTCCTCCATTGAATTTGTGATCTCCTAGAGTTCACTATTCAAATCTTCATTTGGATTAATTCTGGTAACTTATTATTGCTCATGTGCAATTAACAAAACCCAGCTAATCTATTAATTGGTTTGTGTGTGGGGAGATATATGGGAAAGAGTAAAGATGTGTTATAAATGAGGAATAAAACTTAAAGCCATGAGGAAAGTTGTCCCTTTGGACAGTACAAATTGTGCCACTGTATTTGTCTATAATTTGATAGGGTCCACCTAAATATTTTGGTTGGACTTCTCACTATAAACTGTGGCAAACATGGGTATGTAAAGGTCTGTATGTGCTGGTGGGAGTGGTGGAAAAAATTTGGCAACATTCGATAACACAATATGCTGTGTAGTTTTTTTGTATGCTTATAACCCTTCCCCAAAGTAATTTGTTTTAAGTGGTCTGCATTATAAATGCCTACCAGTGCTTTGATGTAGGAGTCTTATCCTGCTGCTTGTTTGGAACCTGCTGCAGGGGGCACAAGGCTGTCCAGCTGTTGGAGATGTCCTGTATTAATCAACCACTCATAAAACTTATTCTCCACAAGTACCTGGAACTGTTTCCTTTGATCCCTAAAATTGCAGTTGAGAAAAAGAATGTAAAAACACTAATTCATATTGATTTTATTCCAAGTGATTATAGAATACTTCAATGGAATAAATGTTAAATTGTTTCTAGTTACCCATTTGTTCTCTCCAAATAAATGTTCTGTTCAGTTCTGTACAGTGGACCACTGTCCCCCAAAATACATTTGGTCAGATACAATGTCTTCTTTGTAAAAACTTATCAATAATTACATATTTTGTTCTACTGTGGTTATTTATTCAACAGATATTTACTGAGGACCCAGTGATGCTGGGTGGAATTCTGACTTGTGGGGATAAATGTGTGAAGAAAGGGGAAGAGACAAAGCTCCTGTCCAGGCAGGTCTGTACCGCACGGCTCCAGAGGGCACCCTTCCCACTATTAATCTATGCAGTCTGTGTTCCCTGTGAACTGTGTATTTTAACAGGGAAGATAGG